TTACATATCGCGCATATTGCAATAAATAATAAATACTGTAAAGAATCTTTAACAGAAATTGATTAAACAAGTAAGACAGGTGGCGCGAAGCGCCACCCATCGCACTAGTATATATATATATATATATGCTTAGGTTTTTTTCATGAACCCATTTATTAACGTATTATATTTAGTTTAACCAACTAATTAATACCTCAATACCATCAACTATTATAGTAAAGATTATCTATCAACATACATAGCCGAGTAATTGACACCATTGCCAAATGTGCAATAAATTAACAGGTTATTCGATTATTGAAAAAATATTTTGTAAATTTCTTTGATAATCAGTGATTATCATTTAATTAACCCAATAAAAGATTCTACGAAAAAAATGAAAAATACCAGATATCAAATAAACAGACAAATAAAATTACATCAGGTCTCCAATTTTGCATATAAAATTATTGCTTTTAATATCATTAGCTATTGTAACTCTGATATCACTCATGTTTGCGATTATTAGCATTTTAAACACATATAGATACTTTCAGTGATCTATATTATACAATGTATCATAAAAATACACATATATAAGGCATAATGAATTCATATGTGAAAATAATAGCATGATGGATAATATGTGAAAAATGAACAAAATTTGATGAATAAGTCATGCAGACCAATCAAACTTATGATTTTGTAGACAAATCCCACTCCAAACAGTGTATAAACTATAAGGTAGCTGCATGATGTATTCATGCTAGAAACCAGTAACAAAGACATATATAGGTAGTTAACAGATACCACAAGTAAACATAAATAGAAAATAAAATACCATAAGGTAGCTACATGATGCAGTCATGCTAGTAACTAGGATCGAAGGCACATAGTTAACAAATAGTCCAAGTAAATGTAAATAAGAAATAATATACTATATTTAAATGTCTAATAGATTAATAGATTTAATCGTTAATATAATATTTTATTAGTAGTGCAACATTAGGTGCTTACGTGCTTAGAGATGTAACCTGGTCATAAATTTTATATTTAAAAATCAGTTTTTACAAAAAAATTTATGATTGTATCACATCTCTATACATGCCTCTTTTATTTATTATATTTGTTGTGAAAAATAGTATAAATTGAAATTATTATAATTTCACTATACAGAGCTTATTATTATTCTAGTGACACACATTATATAGTTAAAATTGAGTTATCTTGTCTTGGAATTATTATGCTTTTTTATTATTGGCATAAATAATTCTGTTACAAAATTTAATCAATTCTAAGTTGTTCTCCTAAACAACTTTATTGAAGATGTAAATATTGATTAACCTAGTAAAATTTTAACTTTGTGTGTAGTTACAGTTATTGATTAGTAAAATATACAAATTTGTACAAAGTTGTTCATACAAATTTGTATGAAGTCGATCATACAAATTGTACAATGCTGTTCACCTTCATTCAAATTGTACAATGCTGTTCACCTTCATTCAAATTCATACAGTTGATATATTTTATATATAGAGGATACAGTAAAAGTAGTTTAAATAATGAACACACTTAACTATATATTATATTCACTAGAATAGTGAATAAGTTCTGTAACAAAATTTTATTTATACCATTTTATACTAACATTCCTAAAATTTCACATCAACAAAGACACTCATGTATAAATACTTAACTAGTGCAAATAAGGCTAAAAGTTCTGAATAAAGAAATTGCAAATTGATACAAGTCATAGAACTAGATCGATATCTTACTATACATGAAAAAACAATTAAATCTAACGATTTTTTTCAAGTAAGCTATATAAAACAAAATTTAAACGAAGGTTTAATAAGTTATATAAAAATAATTTAAACAAGTTCAGTAAGTATTAACTTGAGTGATAGTTTAATAAGTTATATAAAAAATAATTTGAGCAAATGTTTAGTAATTTATATAAAAAAATATCTTAAGTGAAGGTTTAATAAGTAATTTGAGCGAAGATTATAAAAAAATAATTTTAGCAAGGTTTAATTAGTAATTTGAGCAAAGGCTTAGTAAATATTTTGAGCAAAGATTTAGTAAGTTATATTAAAAATACCTTAAGTGAAGGTTCAGTAAGCTATTTGAGCGAAGGTTTTAAAAAAATAATTTGAGCAAGGTTTAATTAGTAATTTGAGTGAAGGCTTAGTAAATATTTTAAGCGAAGGTTTATTAAGTTATATTAAAAATACCTTAAGTGAAGGTTCAGTAAGTTATTTGAGCGAAGGTTTTAAAAAAATAATTTGAGCAAGGTTTAATAAGTAATTTGAGTGAAGGCTTAGTAAATATTTTAAATGAAAGTTTAGCAAGCTATATAAAAAATACCTTAAGTAAAGGTTCTATAAGTAATTTGAGCAAAGTTATAAAAAAAAATTTAAGCAAGGTTTAATTAGTAATTTGAGCAAAGGTTTAGTAAATATTTTGAGCGAAGGTTTAGTAAGTTATATAAAAAATATCTTAAGTTCAGTAAGTAATTTGAGTGAAGGTTATAAAAAAATAATTTGAGCAAGGTTTAATTAGTAATTTGAGCAAAGGCTTAGTAAATATTTTGAGTGAAAATTTAGTAAAATACCTTAAGTGAAGGTTTAGTAAGTAATTTGAGTAAAGGTTATAAAAAAATAATTTGAGCAAGGTTTAATTAGTAATTTGAGCAAAAGTATAATAAGTTATATAAAAAATACCTTAAGTGAAGGTTCAGTAAGTAATTTGAGTGAAGGTTATAAATAAAATAATTTAAGCAAGGTTTAATTAGTAATTTAAGTGAAGGCTCAGTAAATATTTTAAGTAAAAGTTTAGAAGTTATATAAAAAATATCTTAAGTGAAGGTTCAGTAAGTAATTTGAGCGAAGGTCATAAAAAAATAATTTGAGCAATGTTTATTAGTAATTTGAGCGAAGAATTAGTAAATATATTGAGTGAAAATTTAGTAAAATACCTTAAGTGAAGGTTCAGTGAGTAATTTGAGCGAAGGAAATAAAAAATAATTTGAGCAAGGCTTAATTAGTAATTTGAGCAAAAGTATAATAAGTTATATAAAAAATACCTTAAGTGAAGGTTCAGTAAGTAATTTGAGTAAAGGTTATAAATAAAATAATTTAAGCAAGTAATTTAAGCAAGGCTCAGTAAATATTTTAAGCAAAAGTTTAGCAAGTTATATAAAAAATACCTTAAGTGAAGGTTTAATAAGTAATTTGAGCGAAGGTTATAAAAAAATAATTTGAGCAATGTTTAATTAGTAATTTGAGTGAAGGATTAAATATTTTGAGTGAAAGTTTAGTAAATTATATAAAAATACCTTAAGTAAAGGTTTAGTAAGTAATTTGAGTGTTATTATTATATGCAGTATTACAGTGATAGATAATCAATACTTAAAATGAAGATTATGCTTAGTTAAGTGCAAAAAAAATGTGGCAGTGCTAAATTTGCTAATTGATGAATGATCTATAGGCTAACAAGTTTTGAATATGGTAGCTTGTTATTTTTGATAAGTTTTAATAGTTCGTACTGTGTTTCCTATAAATAATTTATTTAGATTTGCAAAAAATCATGAGATTTTTTGCTAACACAGCTTTATAACAACTTGATAATATAATTACAATCTATTGATATTTGGGAACTTAAGTAAAATAGTATTTGGTCTTTTTGTTATTAAGCAAGACACAAAACTTTATTGATTCGTATTAGCAAATCAAACAAAGTTTATAATGCATTATATAATTAATTATTAGGTATCCAGTTATCTGAAAATTATTTTGCTATTTGTCTTTGATAATCAGTAATTATCATTTAATCAACCCAATAAAAAATCCTATGAAAAAAACTGAAAAATGCCAAATATCAAATAAATAGACGAATTAATTTGTATTGGGTTACCAATTTTTGTGTCTAAAATTCTTGCTTTTAATATTATTAGTTATTGCAACTATGATATTGCTTATATTTGTAGTTCTTTATTGTTATATTTAAACCATGTAATTATGTATTTGTACGCATATATACTTTTGCTAATCTATACCATAAGGATAATAATATAAGGCATGATGAATTTGCATGTGAAAAATAATAGTATAATGAACACATGTGTGAAAAATAATAAAAATTTGACAAATAAGTCATGCTGACCAATCAAACTTAAGATTTTGTAGTCAAATATCGCTTTAAACACTATATAACCAGTACTTATTGCATTCGCCACTGGTATACACTATGTGATTTCATCACTATGTTCCTGGTATACGTGATTTCATCACTCCGTTCCTGGTAAATCAATTAATAGTTTATGAAATAATACAAAAAATTGTGACAAATACCTTTTAATTTATCATATCGACAGATTGAAAAAATTGGGCCTAATTTTATGTCACTAAATTTTTGTTGTATGTGACATAATCATAAGATATGGTGGCTTAGAAAATGATTATTGGTCCTAATTTTATGTCACTAAATTTTTGTTGTATGTAACATAATTATAAGATATGGTGGCTTAGAAATTATTATTAGTCCTAATTTTATGTCACTAAATTTTTGTTGTATGTAATATAATCATAAGATATGGTGGCTTAGAAAATGATTATTGGTCACCAGATCATTTGAAGTTCTGAAAACTTCAATATGAAGAAACTCAGTAACCCATTAGTTGTATAAGGAACCTATCAGTTAGTTGTAGAGTAAGTGACTGAGTTTAATAAAATATTTGGTATTATGTCTGAAAATAGCTTTTTTATTGTAATTACACTGTTAAATTTTTAACAACATCAATTCTAACAATATCAACTTTAAACATACCTCAGAGCAACTTAGAATGTAGATTATGTAAAAAAGCATATAAACAACCTTCAAGCTTAGCTAAGCACAAACAATTAATTCAAGACGCTAATATTATGAGATCAACTGTGTATAATTTGCCTGAAGAGGCCATTGAAGAAACACATAAAATGTTAGTTTATTATATAAAAGAAAGACTGAAGCAACATTCAAGATATGCTGGAAATGTTCACATTATAATTAATTGTACAGAGAGTCAGTTCTTTGGTGTCTTTAAAGGATATATACATAATTATTATTCAAAAACAGGAGGTTATAAGTGTTAATTTAAAGGCGTTAATTCTTATTTTATTTTGTCTCAAATATTAAAAGATAATAATTGGGGTACTAAATACTTTTTACAACATCAAAAAACATTTGTTTTATTATACCAATTGCCATCAAGTTTAAATAAATTTGATCTTCTTCAAGAATCTAATTCTCTTCAAGAATCTGATCCTCTTCAAGAATCTGATCCTCTTCAAGAATCTGATCTTTTTCAAGAATTTGATCCTTTTCAAGAATCTAATTCTTTTCAAGAATTTGATCTTCTTCAAGAATCTAATCTTTTTCAAAAGTCTAATTCTTTTCAAGAATTTAACTCTTTTCAAAAATCTAATTCACTTTAAGAGTCAAATTCTTCATATAAATCTAATTTATTTCAATGACCTGATTTACTTTGAAAGTTAAATTTTTTTTATAAATCTAATTCTTTTCAAAATCAAATTCTAGTATCAAAAAAAAAGCATTATAAACCAAAACCTATTCAATTTATTATTAGGTGGAAAAAAAAAGTAAAGTCTGATGCACATAATATTACTTATTTATCAGGATTTATTTTTATGAATTTTATTATTATATGTACAAAGATTACATAATGTTCTTAATTGTTATTATTTATAATAAAGCAATGTTTTAGCATATTTGTATATATTTATTATTATAATTAATAAATCTATTAATATTATTTGCTTTAAATTTAATATCTAAGTTTATTTAAATACGCAATCGCTTTGGTGTTGAAATTAAATTAATTTCATTGCAATTAAAATATAAAGTTCTATTTTCATGTTCAAGAATATTTATAATTGCTAACTTATTTCCTTTTCTGCCATCTTTTGTTGTTTTTTTTTAAAAAATAAGAAACTTGCTGATGATTTTTCTTTTCTACAGCAGAGCAAGAAAATGCTGCTAAGCCAAATTTATGATAAATATACATTAGTTCTGAAACATAATATACTAATATATGTATATATAGTGTTATATTACTTGTTTGATAAAAATCAGATTCTAAAAACTGATATAACCATTTTTGTGCATCTTTAGAAAAGTATGTTGTATTAGTATTAAGATCTTTTATTGCTTTATAAAGCAAATAAAAATTGTTCCACAAATTTCGAATTTGAACTGCTCGAGAATATAGAAATAATTTAGTTAAATCAAAATGTTGAAGCACAGTTAATTTATCTTGCCCATTAATGAAGTATTTTGCTAGTGATTTGATTCAAGCCAGAAATGGTATTTAACATCTATACATTTTATTTCTTCAACTATTACATCTCTTGCTTATATTTCTTGATTTAAGCTCATCAATTACTAATTGCCAAAGAACATCAGTAATACATAACATTATATTTAGTTTATCTGAAACCCAATTTTGTAAAGAAATCTTATTAAAAAGTGCTGGCTTAATATAGCCTTTATAAATTTATAATTTGTACAAATTTAATTCATAGTTTTGCTAATTGTCTATTTATATAAAAAATCACCTTGCTGTTCTTTAGAGATTTCACACTATGGACAAAAATATTTACTATTTGCTGTATTCATTCCTAAACAAGTTGCAAGAAATTTCCAATCAGATGAAAAATAAAGTTCTATTTTTCATCTTATACCCTGATTATCATTTAATTCATTTTCCTTTAACTTTTTTAATTCTATAATTAAATACTTTAGTGCAATATATAATTTTTCATATTTCTCATTACTGGAATATAAAATTGTAGTATAATGACTTTCTGGCTGCTGCAATTTGTCTTTATTATTAAGAATTGAAAAAGTAAGCATTATATGCTTTATCTTTTTTCCAACATTTCTTTTGTCTTCAGATATTCTTAAATATATTATAGGATTTGTTATAACTAATATTTTCTTTGCAACAAGACTTGGTATAAGATATTTTAAAATATCAACAATACTTCATCTTCCACCTTTTCCAATTACTAATTGCATATTATTAATTATTTCTATATCATTAATATGAATTTCTGAATTTATAGAGTCATCTAATAATGATGATAGTGAATTAATAGTTGAAATAGGTATAGCTTTATTTATTTCATACGTGATATCTTTCTTTCTGATGCTACTTTCCATTCATGTGGCAAAATCATAGCTAATTGAAGCTAAAGTATGATATTCTTCACATGTAATTTGACTTTTATCACAAGCTTTAACAACTGCTCTTGCTTTACCTTTATTGTTAATTACTCTTTTCATTAACATCAAAGTAGAATGATTTATTATTAATATCAAATTCAATTGATTTTAATATAGATTCATCTTCTGGATGACAATTCTTATTTGCTACTTTCTTAGCTCGATTATTTTGTCCAGTTGAGGTTAAATTATCAAATGATTTTAAGACTGTTATTTGTTGAAGTATTTCTAATTGATGACCAAATACTTATGAACCCGAATAATGGCTTTTTGTCTCTGGATCTAAAGCCTATTATGAAATAATATGATTTTAATAAATTTCTAACATTAAACTATTATTAAAATTATTAATTAGTATAATAAATTTTATTATACCTTAGAATATAGAATTGCCACATCTGAACATAATTTTTCAGATTTTACATAGAATTGATACTTGTGTCCATAATATATATAATAAATAGGATTTTTGTCTATATATTCGATTATAGATTTAACTAAATGTTTTGTATTAGACTTTCCCCAACTTGACTCAACTTCATAATCATCAGGATTCGAAATCCATTTTTGCGCTGTGTATATTTAAGATAAATAGCAGGCGGATATTGACCTTTAATAATAGATATTATAAGTATAACTTCGCCCAGTTTCTAAATATTCGATAACAGATTTCTTAGGGTAATTATGAATTTCCATTCTTTTTTTAATTTGTTGACTCATTTGAAATAAATAAAGATGATAAATTACTAATATCGATTATTTTTATTAATAAATATTTATTGAATTGATTGATTGATACATTTTATGATTTCGGAATATGAACTTAAAAATGATCCCCAAAAAAATTGGGGGACTTTTCCAATTAGCTGATATGTTTCATTCAATTTAGTCATTAGCAAAAAGTTATTTTAAAATTTGTATTTATTTTTACATGACGTATTTCATTTATTAATTGATTAGGTCAATCTTCATTTACGGTGGAGGATAAAATATTTACCAAGCAATTTTTATCGACAAATGACAAAACATGATGAATATCTATAATTAATGTCACGGATGATGGTGAAATCGGATGATCGTGAAATCAAACCCTATTTAATATACGATTTTTAAAATTTTTAG